ACGGTCTCATGATAATCAAAGCTTTTATTAGCGAATTTTTCGCTGCAAGTCTTATTTTAGAAAATTAAATTGAACATCTTATTTTAATTAATTTATAAAATTAATTATCTTCCCATAAGACCAAATAATTATTAATGTCGCTTAACCACACAGAATCTTGCAAATTAATCAAACAATATGACTATAATTTATTTCTTGATGACTTAAGATGTTGAGACTAGTCATAAGTCATAATAACCTTAAAATAACATTTTTGTATAATGAATGATATCAGTTAATTTCTTATCCTTATAAATTTCAATATAGAGAAGTTATAACTTCAAAAGAGTTATAAGTATTTTGATTTAAATTTCTGATTTGTTGAACATGTGAGTGCATTTATCAAATAATTCCTTATTACAATGACAATCTTCTGCTCATTGATGCTGAAAACTCTCCAACACTATCTTTAAGCCTTGTAACCCTTGGTAACTTTCTTTAACATTGAAACTACTTGAACATGTTGACTCTCATTAGGCCTCTCATATGAGGCTTTACTCTAAGCACATATGGTCTCAGCCATTATCCCTCTTCTCAAGTCTTCTTTAGCCATGTCTTAGGGCTTGTAATATAATAATGTCTGGTGTTAGACACCTCTCAAAGGCCCATGCCTATCGATTAATCAATTAATTAACTAATTATTTGAGCCCAAAGTGATGAATTATTTTTAGTCTCACAATAAATGTATAAATAAAGATGACCCAAATTGAAGAAACTTTTTTTTTTTAATTTTATTTTAACATTTTTTATTTATTGTTCTGACTCAGTCTGCTTCTGTATTCAACAGGTCGCGTCCAACCATGTTCTATCTACCCACGTGGCTAAAAAGTTCAAAGTAAACGCCCCTAACGGATTCCATATCCCAAAAATGACGGACTAATATGGCAAAGCATTACTTCATTTCATGTGGACTGACTTTAAGCAAGATCTTCCCCGGGAATCTGTTAAAAAAAAAAAAAGTCAATACCTTGCGAAAGGTCTTTACTCTTCAAAACGATGATGCAGGCATGAGCTAACTAATGATATTTTGCAACCTGATATTGAAAGCCACCGAAGGCTATGAAAAGAAAATGTGAAACTGCCAATGGAAAATTAGCCGTTATTATAATGATAGTTGCTTGGAGAGAACAAATACGAAAATTCAAACATTGAACTACAAATACGGAAATTCAAACATTGAACTCTTTGCGTAAGCCAAATTTAAGATTGAACTTATATATATGCATGCATGAGTCAACCTTTCTTAATTTCTCTCTCCTTACTCCTTTTTTAATCTTTCCTTGGGAACTCAATGCCGCTAATTCAATTCCCATTTAGACCCAAATTAGCAGCTGATATCTAGAGTTCATGGAGCACAACCAGCAGGACTCAACACCATTCCAAGAAATGGATTCTGGGGAGAAGCGGCTTAATGAGCTTGGATACAAGCAAGAACTGAGAAGAGAAATGGTTGATTTTGCTTTATTTTTCTACACAATAACTTCTTCATTTGTTCTTTCCTGTTTGATTTTATCTTATTTTCAACTCCATACCTGATGGAATTAATGGAACAGCTGGTTCTTATTATTTTGATCTCAGTTTGATTTCATTAATTATATATATATATATGTTTGTTGGTTTTATTCATTCTCTTGCAGACTCTGTTCAAGACTCTTGCAATATCATTTTCAACAATGACACTCTTCACTGGGATAACTCCCCTGTATGGTTCAAGTCTTCAGTACGCAGGTCCTGCTAGTCTTGTTTGGGGATGGGTGGTTGTCTCTTTCTTCACCTGGTTTGTGGGAATTGCAATGGCTGAGATCTGTTCCTCTTTTCCAGTTTGTCCCTTATCCATCTTCTTCCATTTCTTTTGCTCCAATCCAATATTCTTTCATTTTCACTTTGATATTATATTTGCCCTCCCCCACCAAGGCTTTTTCCCTGCAAATAAACCTGCTTGTCTGTTCTTGCATGTTCCTTAATTTCCTTTAAAGAGATTTAAAAGCACCAAAAAAAAAAAAAAAAACAAATGGTTTAAGTCATGTGATGGCTTGCGGCCTTGAACTAATCTGGAGCCAAAAGATTCTAATATGTGCAGCAGCTCTGGCCTGGGACCATGATTATTATGCATCTAATTCTCATAAAGCTTCTAAAACTGGAGGGAAATGACTTCATCTTTCTTGTAAAATTTTGACAGACAACAGGTTCTCTTTACTTCTGGGCTGCCCATTTAGCTGGTCCCAAATGGGGTCCTTTCTCATCATGGTGCTGTGCTTGGCTTGAGACCATAGGGCTTATTGCTGGCATAGGTACCCAGGTAAACTTGCTGCCGCAATTAATTCAATTAGTACAGTATTGTTTGTTTTGAATTTGAAGGACATGGGATTTAACTATATAATTGTGTCTGGTATGGAATTAAGGCGTATGCAGGATCCCAAACACTGCAGAGCATCATCTTATTATGCACAGGAACTAATAAAGGTGGAGGATATTTTGCTCCAAAGTGGCTTTTCTTATGCATGTATGTTAGTCTCACTATAATTTGGGCAGTGCTCAACACGTTTGCATTAGAAGTGATTGCCTTCATCGACATAATTTCAATTTGGTGGCAGGTACAAATTTTACATTTGCTTTCTTTCAGGCTTCTTAGTGTGTAAATAACTAAGGTTTGGTTCGTTTATACTCTAATGTGCAATAAAGAAAGTTGGGGATAGAGAAAAACGCATTTAGAAACCCTATATTTCCCATCGAGTTTGGTTAAGTTGATAAGGATCAAATACTTCGCTTATAAGGCCTAGGTTCAATTCTCGTTGCCAGCAGTACCTATGGTGGGCAATCAGTAAATCCAGTGTAAATTCTTGCTCAAGATTGAGATATGCCCTGACTCTGGAATGAGATATGTTGCAAGTCTCACCATTTTTCCAAATCTGCATGCATCTGAAGTTTGCACACCATTCTTCCATACCAATAGAGAAGATATAATGGGGTCTTATGAAAATGAACACAATCTAGTACTTTTATAAGCACTCTTTTGCCATGAGCTTAAGAGTAAAAGTTATGATGCTAGTATTTAATAACAGTAACCAAAGTTCTGTCTTGTCAGGTTATTGGTGGCTTAGTTATAGTTATAATGCTCCCTTTGGTTGCATTGACTACAAAATCTGCATCATATGTATTTACAAGTTTCGAAATGGGGACAGACTCAACAGGAGTATTAAGCAAACCTTATGCAGTCATCCTTTCTTTTCTTGTCAGTCAGTATTCACTTTATGGATATGATGCAGCAGCACATTTAACTGAAGAAACGAAAGGTGCTGATAGGAATGGTCCTATTGCAATTCTGTCCAGCATTGGGATCATTTCATTATTTGGATGGGCTTATATTTTGGCCCTTACTTTCAGCATTCAGGTATGTCTATACAGCTTTTAGCTATTCTGCAGTTTGATAGCTCTTCATTAAATGCTCCTGTCACATGGATTCTTTACAATTTAGAAAAATTAATGGATTCTATTATAAAGTTTGAAAGTACAATCCATTTCTCTGGAAAAGAAAAAGTGTCCCATTCAGGCTTCTGCTTCATTGAGCGCTTATTGCTAGCTGGAAGTCTGGAACAATTTCTTTTTTGATATACATGTTCTAGTTACAAATAACATCCCTTCTTTGTGATGCATTGTTTTGTTACAACCAACCTTGGAGGTGCAGTTCTTATATGTTTCATCAGAATTGCTGAATGTTGCATGTATTTTCCATTCCTTCATACAGGATTTCAGCTACTTATATGATCCAAGCAATGAGACTGCAGGGGCATTTGTGCCAGCACAAATACTCTATGATGCATTCCATGGGAGGTATCACAATTCTGCAGGAGCAATTGTATTACTATTTGTCATCTGGGGATCTTTCTTTTTTGGTGGGCTTTCAATCACTACCAGTGCAGCCAGAGTAGTAAGCAATCTGTTTCTCCTAGCAAAGTTGTAAATGTTGTCAAAAGCCTTACTAGATTGACCTTGGAGGACCAAAAGCCACTTTCATAAACTGTTCTCGTGAACACGTGATCACTTGTCATTTTACTTGTTCGCTCGTTTAAGTATCTTTCTTTTGGTGCTTGAGGTCATCATTTAGATTTCAATTATATGAAGTACCTATAGATTTTTCTTGATTACCAGATCAAATGTTTAATAGTCTTTTTTTTCTTCACGATTCAGATTGTTAGCAATCCCAAGAAAATGAATTTTCATGTTTTTCATATAGTGAATTCTGCTGAGGTTAATTCATTTTTACTACTACTGACAACTGACCTGCACCATGGTACCATTCAGGTGTATGCTTTATCAAGAGATAAAGGAATTCCTTTTTCATCCTTATGGCGACAAGTGCACCCAAAGCGCAAAGTTCCATCACATGCAGTATGGCTATGTGCAGCCATATGCATTCTTCTTGGGCTGCCAATCTTGAAAGTCAATGTAGTATTCACAGCCATAACTTCCATATGTACGATTGGGTGGGTTGGTGGCTATGCAGTTCCAATCTTTGCAAGAATGGTAATGGCAGAGAAGAACTTCAAAGCTGGACCATTTTATTTGGGCAAAGCTAGAAGGCCAGTATGCCTGGTTGCGTTTCTGTGGATTTGTTACACTTGTTCTGTCTTTCTTTTACCGACTTACTACCCAATTACTTGGGACACTTTCAATTATGCACCTGTAGCTTTGGGTGTGGGTTTGTCTCTGATAATGCTTTGGTGGGTGGTGGATGCAAGGAAATGGTTCAAGGGACCTGTTAGAAACATAGAAATTCAGAATGGAAAGGTTTAGCATCAATCAGGACTTCAAATATTTATGAATAGATCAAGATCTTTGTGTTTCCCTTGAGTATTTGCCATGTTCTTTATGGTTTGATCCATCGGAATTTTGACTAGTCATCTTAATAACCAAATTTCAGATTTCTTCATTGGACTCAAATAATTCTTGAGGTCAAGATGGTTGTGTAAAAAGTGCACCATAGTCTTAAAAGCCAATTCATGAAACAAAGCTACTCGAAACGGTTTTCTACATTTTTTGCAAACCTATGAATAGCACATCTTTCTGTCACAAAGCTATGGAACTACCTCCCCATCCACAAAACCTGGAAACCTAGGAGGGAATTGCTGAACCTGTGATTTCAATTCTTCCCATTCTTCCATCCATCGACTAAAGCTTGAATTTTTTGCCAAAACGTCCTTTGAGACCTCTTTATTCGCAATCAACTTCCTCGCATATTTTTCAAAAAAATCAATCTTTTGCCAACACAGATGTCGCTTGGTTACATCTCTCTCACTTCTGACATTATCCAACCACTCCCTGGCTTCTTCTACCTTTGCCCAAAAGGTTGAATCTTGTGTGGAACTGGCAAATCTGCTCCTCTTGTTTTCTTCCTCTGGAACGCTTCTGTCCCTCCACCACTTATCAAAAATTTCATACCTCCTTTCCCTTCCATGCTCGATGTAATGGCCACGTACGCGGTGCATCCCTGTTCGGTAGTAGTCCGCGATGTCCAATGGTTCAACAAGGAGCTTATAGAACTGGGAAGCGTTTATCCACTTTGCTCTTCTGTCAAAATCATGAGGTAGCTTGTTGTGTTCCAACATGTGGATTACGCTATTCCAGAACGCAGCAAGCTTATGGCGGTTCAAGTTCACTCTGTTCTCTCTTCTTGATCCCCCCTTGAGCTTGAAGGAATCATAATAACCCATTTGATCATCAGCCTCATCGCAGCAGGCTTTGTACCACTCAATCTCAGCTCTAAAAGGCACTATCTTGGACAATTTTATTGCTAGATTGGCGGCAATCAGGTTTGGCTTGTCACCATTTTTACCCATTTGTAGGCAGTCCCTGGCCATAATTGCAACTTCTTTCCTCTCCAGGTTTGAGTTTTGCATGGAAAAGCAATGGTCTTGAACTGATTCCTGTGATTTGATTTTAGTTAAAGTGAAAAGAAAAAAATCAAGTTACCTTGTAAATCGACTTGAGGGAACTAAGTATTCCTTGTGAGAAAAAAGATTACCATATCTGTTAGTTCCGAGGACTGCAATGCCAATGCAACTCCAGCTTCATAGCTAGAATCAGGTAGACAATCTTCATGTAAGTTTCTGGCCTTTAAAAACTGTTTCGAAACTTTCGCAACATAGTCTCCGTACTTGAGATGATCTTTAATGCTACAACTTGATGAACCAGTTGCCAGCATCAAATACATCATCTTAATAACAGATGCTTCATTTTCTACACAAATGGCACCCTCTTGGCAGCAGAAAACATAGCTTCCAAAAGGCCGAAACAAACTCTCTGATGGCTCTTCAGGTTGCGCCAACAGTTCCAAGTCCTTTAAAACACAGCGAAAAATAGTATCGTTGAAATCATCGGGTAGCTGAGAAGAAAGGCTTGTAACAGTGACGTCAGCAGAAGCCATGCACCTGTGCCAGAAATGCAGCAGGGCTTGTATTTCAGAAATGTGGCTGACAATTTCGGCAAAGAGTAGCCTTGGCATGATATCATGATTGGAAACGACATGGCAGAAGTTTCCACCCCATCTTTCTCGGAGAATCGATCGATGGAGGGCTTCGTTTCCTAGCAATGGAGAGCCGAAGGTGATGCATAGCACATTCGACATTGGAGAAGATATGGATTGCAGTTGACAGAGGAGCCATAGAGCTGAAAGAGAGGCTGTTGTTCCTCCTATGGAATGACCCGTGATTACTACTGACTTCACTTTTCCCATCAACGCCGCAATCTGCATCACCAACAATATCTTCTCAATGCAACTTGAATCCAATTAACGTTGAACCAAAAAAAAACTAATGGAGATTAAGATTGGAAAAATAATCAATTCATGAGTTAAATCCAAAACTTCCCACAAGGATTACACGTACGTTCAAAGTTGTAGATGGAATATTATTCTCACTAAAGTGATGTATATTATGTATATTAAAAAATTTTTAAAATTAATTAATCCAAAAGTTTTTCTGTCTTATTTTTCATTCTTGCCAAGTAATAAAATAAATAATTAAAATAGATAAATTTAAAAACAAAAAGTACTCTATAAATTATAATAAAAATAATTAACAATAAAGATAATTTTAAACTTCACCTTATAATAAACATTGTTTATTTTTATATATAATTTTTTTTATTTTTTACCTCTAAATAAAATTCTAACATTCTAAAAAATAATTGATATAACTTCTAAGTTTTCAAATTATGATTAACCTTGTAAGTCATAATTGTAATTAATGATAAATCCTATTGAATGGTAAATTAAAAAATAACAATCAGTGCAATAAAGATGAATATTTACTTTTTTGGGAGGAAATTTGTGAATATAAAATAATTCTAGTTTAGTAAATGATTTTTTAATTTACATCTTCTTGTCTTTTCATATATTATCTAATTTTTTTCTTAATTTATTTTTGTGATATTAAAAATCAAAATTAAAAGAGTCCCATTATCAAAATTTAGAAAAATGTAACCTTGAAAATTTTAATTAAGATTTGACAAAATGATGCACGATCAAAATAACTCATTTGAATCCAATTCAATTTTTATTTTAAATGTCAACAATTTGAGTTTGGATGACTACTTAAAATTAGAGGTCGTTTGATATTATTATCAGTTTTATGTTTTTTAAAAATTTATTTTATTTTTATTTTATTGAAATTAAAAATATGGTTGAAAATTAATTTTTTAATTGTAGAAGCCATTCAGACAAGAAACTAAAAAGTAGACAAGTGGTTGAGTCCATGGATTAGCTAACTGTCTGGGGTTTGAATCCAAGTTTTGGCAGTTCTGATGATCATCTTTTAAATTTTTGGCATTAAAACTGATCTTGTTCACGTACGGATATTATTTATTTGTGTAATAAATGAAAATGTTTTTAGAATATTGAAAACATCATTTTTCACTTTGAAACAACTTTCAAAATTTTATTTTCAATTTAAAAAAAATTAATTTACCAAATATAATTATGTTTTCAATTTAAAAAAATAAATAAATAAATAAAACAAAAACATCACTAACTGAGTGATTCAATTTTTTATTAACTTGAAATGACTTAAACCCTGTCCAACTCAATTGCTAACCCTAAAATATACCAATTACTATAATTGAATATAGAGGGATACTTACTGAAGGAAGTTCACCATTAAACACCACACTAATCATAATTGTAATTGAATAATAATAATAATAAATAATAAATAATATAAGTAAAAAAAAAAAATGGTGATGTTGACCTGCTTTTGCATTGGTATGAAATCATCTTGAAGGTTTCAAAAGGTACATGCGAAGCCCTTTTCTTCTTTGAACGAATTCTTTTCTTTAAAGTCAGGTCCTTATCTATAAACGAGTGGGGGTTATAGGAGACAGCGAAGGTGGGGTAATGGAAGGCATGTTTGGTTTAAGAGTTGACCCCATCTAACCATTTAAAAAAAAAAAAAAAACTACGAAATGGTGAACGAGGGACCGGTTTTGCCGACAGTGTGAAATATTTTAAGAACTTCTGAGTGCAGTCCGGGCTAACTTTATTTGAAGTTTGACTACCAAATTCAAACATTGAATGTGGACTCAACTAATCAGTCGTCGTGCATTTAGATTGACCTGTAATCTTACTACCATAAGATAGATTCTTAATGCATAATCTATAATGCATCCAAAATATATATATTACTTGTTTGATACTTGCTTTTAAATCCATAAAGATTAAGATAAAAATTTTTAAATGAACTTTATGAAATATTTTATTAAAAAAGATAAAATAATAAATAATAAATAATAAATTAATAAATTTTATCACATAATCTAATGTATAAATTTTTAAAAAAAATTAATAAATTTTGATACATTGTTCATATAAATATTTTTAATAAAAATATTAATAAAATTTTTAACATTAATAATTATTAATCAAATTTAAAATACAAATAATTTTTTATATATTATTAATTTTTAAATTAACTCTATTAATAAATTGATTTAAGTTTTTTATTAAAATTTTTATTAAATTATTTTTTAAAAAAACTTTACAAATTTTATTTAAAAAATTTTGGGTAAGTTTTATCTTTTCAAATTATCTTCAATCAAATTATAGTAAATTTTATTATAAGAAACGTGCCTGGAAATGTTGAATGGATCCTTAAGCCCATTTGTCAGTCAACGTTTCTATTTGCCACGAATTTTGAGAGTAATTTGGCCGAAATTGAAATTTTGTTCAGATCTATTTAAAGACGAATTCAACGTGATGATTTGAATTGATTGAAAAATTACACTCATATAAAAAAAAATTGAATTTAAAACAATATAAATGCAAAAACCATTTAAAAATTAAAATAATTCAAATTTTAGTTCACTCAAATTTATAATAATTCAAAATATTTAAAATCAATCCGATTCAAAATTTAAATTTTCAACTCAAAAAAAAAAATCCTCAAATTTTGATTATACTAAATTTCTTTTTCTTAGTGAGAAAAGAAAATATATTATACTAAAATTAAAATGATAATTATCTAAATAGTGTAAGTGGAGTTTTTTAAACTCTACAAATGTACTTAAATAATTAAGGTGCTTTTTGTTTTTTTAAAAGATTACTAAGTATGTTATGTGAATTGTAAATAAAAAAATTAAATTAACATAATAATTATTTTATGGATCACGTTTAAATTATTTAATCCTTAATACCAATTTTAAGTAAGGTCCAAGTGACTTATTCATTAATTGAGTTTTTATTTTACTAAAGAGAAAATGAAAAGGGAAAAGGCAATTATTATTATTATTTTTTTTTTTTTATGTAAAGGAAAAGGCAATTATGATCGCATGGAAATGAAAATTAGAAGGAGAAAGAAAAAAGTCAGAAACTTGAGGGGCTGAAATCAATCAGATTTTGTTGCTTTTGGAGTCTGGGGAATGAGATTTGAGTGTTAATTTTGGGTTAAATCTTTTTTGACATGGCCCCACCCTCCATTTCTGAGTTGTCCTAATTGGGATCACGTATTGTTCACGCCCAATATATAAAAAAAGAAAATGAAAAACATAAACAAATAGTTAACAGAAAAAAAAAATCAATTGTTATAATTTGATATTCTATTTTGAAATTTTTGAATTTAAATCTTGAAAGAGATTAAAATTAAATTTATAAAAAAAGTTACCTTTTATTTTATAAATCAAAATTTATATATATAAAGATGAATTCTAAAAATTTTTTATATTGTATTATATTATAATATATAAATAAATTGGATATTTACATCACAAGCACTAATGCAACCCAGGTAAAGGCACAAAATATGGATAGTGCCCTAGTAATAATTTGCAGGTGCAAAATTTTCAATAATATTTGCCTAAATGTGATGACTAATGCCACTAAAATACAACATTATTTGTTTGTTCATGTGGTACTTTCACGTATCACTTTCTTTAGTGAAATGATATTTTTTTGATTTTTTTATAGAGTTTGTAATTTTTTGGAAAAATTTATAAAATTTATATTCGATAAATTATTATTATATAAAAATTATATATTATCAATGAATCATATTATATAATTCATAAAAAAATTCACCTGAAGTTTATGACATGATTTTAAATTTGAAGACAATTGTATTTAAAGGTAAATACATGTAGAGTAAATTTAGGTTGGTTCAAGTTTCCTTTACGGAGTTGGGTAGAGAGTAGAGACCTTCAATTCACACTTTATAAAAGGATTTTGTAATAACAAGGTGTTAAAATTTGGATTAAAAAATTTAATATTTTAAAATTTAGGAATTAAATTGTACAATTTTTATTTATTTATCAATTTATATATCTTATTATAATTAATTCAAGTAATAAATATGTAATTAAATATTATTAATTTATGCTCGCATTTTCATACATACTATCATTTGGGAAAAAGATGATGCTATCTTTGGCACTAAGACAGACGGGCGGATAATACATATTGCCCATCATCTCACCTTCCATTAACTTCATTTCCCAAAAATGCAAAAATTATTCATCCACTTATGGTTTGATTTGAGTAATTAATAATCAACTTATGCACTTGATGTATCTACTGTTCTACCACCAAAATATATCAACAATTGATTTTATGGTTTGTATTTTTTTTTTTTAAGAAAAAAAACTTTGATTTTTTTCAAACTTCAGAAATTGTGAATCAAATGAACTAAATTAAACAAAGAAACTGAAAGGGGATTTATTTTTATATTTATGAATTGAAAAGTTATATATAGAAGATAAACTAGGAAGGTAAAAAGAAAAGCTGACCTGGATTTGCAAACTTGGATACATTGAGAGGAAGAGCTTTAACATTCCATTATGCACCTTGATGGGCTCCTCTGCTTTGCTATGTCGATAAAGAGGAGCAAAAAGGCGATCATCGTCTTCGGCATCCAAAGGCACCAGATTTCTGCAGCTCTGATGCGACCCAGAACTCATTTGTCTCCCAGAAAACGCAACGTAGGCCACGCTTCCGATCTGATCCACCAGGTAAGCCCCTGGAAATTTTGTGTTTGCGATGCTGCAAAGCCGCCATGCCTCTTCCAACAATGGCGTCGAGGCAAGAAATGTTGCCAGCGTCTCGCTCATTTCGAAACTGTTTTGGCTTAAATTGATCGGAATAAAATTTCAAGAAGAACATGTTAAGGGTGTTAGAATAAAGAATTTCCAAGTCAAATTTGGAATTAATGGAAGAAAAAAGAGTGGCTTCACGTACTTACCTTGAAGTTTCGGTTTCCATATGGACGAAAAGATGTTGCTCTTTCTTTCTTTCTTTTCTTTCCCTTTTTTTTTTTTTTTTTTTTTTGGAGGTGGGCGTGTTGCTTGTTGGGGGTCTTTTATTAGTGACAAAAACAAATATACTTGAAAATGAATATTATTCCTATTTTTTTTTCTTTTTGTTTTTCGTGAAAGAAAAATTTTATAGTGGTTTCAAGATTAAAAATGAAAATAATATTTTTTCAATAAAAATAAAATTTATTTATTTTTAAAAATATATAATAAGTCATAGATTAAAAAATTGTAAGTTTTAGTTTTCGAATTTTAAAAACAGTTATATAAATGAACTTAATTAAATTTAGAATATTGATGGATCTAAATTTTAAATTAAAATGTTCCTAGACACTCAAAAATTAAAAAAAAAAAATTTTGAATATACCCTCAAAAAAAATTTTGGACTTTTTTTTAATGATAAATTAATAAATATATTGATAATTTTTTATATTAATTAAATGAATACTTAAAATATTTTTTAAACACTAGGAATTCAAATAATTTGCTTTGTTAGTGGACAATTTGTTGGGTCAAAATCAAATTATTATTTAAAATTAAGTTGGGGCAATGAATCCATTGTATTTCACTGAAATAGGAAGAGGTGAGGGAGTTGGACTTGAATTCCGCGTTGGTGGTGGTGGAAGTGAAAGGGAAAGCAGGGTACTATAACTATACTACTATTATTATTATTATTATTATTAGAAAGCATCCCGCAAGGCCGCACTTCGTTTTATGGGACTTTTTTATATTTATATACTTATTGTATGTCATAAATTATTGCTATTACTACGTGGCAACGGCAAGTGAGCTAGTGGGAGAGAGACTTTTGGTCAACGCTTTTTGTTGTTTTCTAATGGCTTGGCTTTCGATATGATTTGACAGGTGGTTGAAAGACGCGGTTGCGTTCCGAACGGGACGAGAGCACTAATATAATATTTTTGTTCCCAAGTGTCATCGCTTAGCTAAACACGCTCTTTTAATTATATGAGATTTGGTTATTTGATAGCAAATTATACAACACATTTTGGCCATCCAAATCTTTTGCAATGTATGTATGCCCTTTCATATCATCGAAGTTTTATTTTGTGATATCCAACATCATCTGGATGGGTTTATTTGTTTTCGAACCCTAAAAAACCCAACTGTTCTCGCAACAGAACCAATTGGACCTTGGGCTACACATATCATCTTGGGCTCAAATTTTCAAATTCTAATTCTATCTTTTTTTTTTTTTTTGAAAGATTTTAGATTGTATATTTAATTCTAAAAATAACGACAAAAGAAACTTTTAAGAGAGCGGCAGCACGTGGCTCAAACGCGCTTCCATATCTAGTGTTTAGGTCAGACTGTGAGAGGACGAATCAATCAAAAATTAAGAGGAAGAAAGAATGAGTAGGATTAGGGTTAGGGGAGACATACACGCAGCGGCAAGGTCAGGTGACCTTTCAACACTTGAATCGATTCTGGCATCTAACCCTTTGGCTGTTAACTCCAGAGATAAGCACTCCAGAACTCCGTATCCTTCCTCTTCTCTTCTGTTCGTTTTACTCTCTGCTCAATTCCTTTAACAATTTTTTATTTTTTATTTTCCTGTTTTTGGGAAATATTTGTGAACCATTAGAATATCTGCAGCAATATTTTGTAGCTCATAATTGTTGATAAAACTTGGAGTTTATGTTGGTTTTCTTTTCCATCATTCTTTTCTCCATCTGCATCTCTTTTTTTCTTTGTTTTTCATTCCAAGTCAATAAGAGCAAATTGACAGCAGAAAATATATAGTTTTTTTTTTTATATATATACAAAGGAGTTCCCAACCTGGAATAAGAAGGGATTGTCGGTGTTAAGATTCGAATCCCAAACCTTCTTATGCCAACTCTAAAGATGGCTGATGCCACCTCTTAAGATGGCTGAGCTAAGCTCCGGCTTCACAGAAAATCATTATTTTCAACTGTAAGTTATCTGCCTTCAAGTTTTATGTGTCTTGGGTGAAAATTTAGGCTTTGCCTGATTCTGGCATTTTGTTGAATCCCTATGTTGGAAAGGTTGCTAAACCCATGCTTGTGCTTCAGTTCAAATATGCACAAATTATTCTTATTGCTTATCCATAAATTGAGATGTTGAAGTGTTGTGGATGATGCATAGCCTAATTACCAACCCACCTCTACTATGAAGGTGGTCTTCAGTTCAGAATAGTAACATACTCAAATATCTATGACCTTCATTGTATGTGCAGTGTGCTTCTTTACTTGTTTCCTATTGTATCATATTTATTGTTGATATCTGCAGAAAATGGTTTTTCTGCTAAATGTTTATTGTAACTGGATCCTATTGTTTACATCATGCATTCTACTCTAATTTTCTGCATGATGGCATGCCACTTTTCCAATTTGTTTCCTTGACATTGGTAACCCTGTGATATAGACTACATTTAGCAGCATGGTCTGGGCAAGCACAGGTTGTGAGTTATCTGTGCAAGCAAAAAGCAGATGTTGGTGCTGCTGCCATGGATGACATGGGTGCGATTCATTTTGCAGCCCAGAAAGGACATCTAGAGGTAGTCCGGACTTTGCTTTCATCAGGAGTTTCAGTGAAAGCTGCCAATCGCAAGGGATTCACTCCGCTTCACTATGCTGTTCAAGGGTCCCATCTAGAAGTAATTAAAGTCTTGTTAAAGAAAGGTGCGAGTCTTAGTGCCAAAACAAAAGCAGGGAAAACCCCACTTGATCTTGCAGTTAGTGAAGAAATTCGCTCATATTTGAAAGAATGTGAACAATCTCCTATGGAAGCAAATGTGAAGGGTAAAGAGAAGATTGAAAAACGTGATTCAAGGGCACCATTGCTAGATAAAACACAAAATTCTGATGAAGCTACTGCAGCTGAGCAAGAACAGCAAGAGGATGAGAGAGTGAAAAGGAAAGGTGATGATGATAACCTGGAAGCTTTATCAGAACCTAAGAAACCAAGGGTTGTTCTTAAACACCTTCTGAGTGCAGATGACACTCAGGAAGACGAAGAAACCTCGTAAGGACACTAGAGTGGAAAAAAGACTATTCCACAAGCATTGCTTGGACCAAAATTGTTACAAGATTGTATGGAAGGAAATCTATTTTCTGGTGATTCAATTATTGTAAGGCTAACAACAATAGAAGTACCCCTAATCTTTCCTGCTTCCTTATGATCAGTTTATGTAGGTTAATTTTTGTTGTTTGTGCATTTTGAATTGAACCCCCGCATGCTTCCTGTTTCAATGGTCAGCATGTTGTGTGATCTCCTCCTATCACTTAAAATTTTAGTCAGTATTTATTCGAAAAAAAAGTTTAGTATTAATATTACTACAAATGAAGGTTACAAGTGAAGATGAAAAAAGCAAAAAAGCATGCTTTTGTACCCAAAAAAAAAAGGAGATTAAAAAGCAGAGATCCTTCCACCATTTATTTTGCACCAAGATGTGTCAGCTGTGAAATCTATGGTAAAATAAAATAAATCAATAAACACTGAATGCTAACCCAATGCAGGCCTAGAGACAAGCTATGCTATTCTGATTTCTGCCCTTTAATTCTGAATTTTGATGGGAGTAGGGTAGTTAAAAAAGTACATAGTGCTTGTACACATTCTCTCTCATATCTATTGATAGCTATAATTTGTTACTTAAAACGTGCCATTTGAATCCATCACCTAGATGGCGTTGATAGGTTTGGAGTTTGCTTCATCGGTTGGTTTGGAACTTAAATTCCAGCATCAGATATCTTTATACCAAAAAAATGTGCCACTTGAAAAGAAAGACAAAGACAATGCTAGATTCTAAGTGCCACACTTCTATATTTCTCTCTCATCTACTAAAAATGAACCATTTTGCTCATAAGGGACCTCAAAGAAAAGATCGAAGATAAGAATTTGTAAGCGTCTCCAAATGAAAGTAAAATTTGTCAAGCATGGCTGCCAAAGAAAATCAAAGTTGGTGAAACCAGAGTTCTTCGCATTAGGGGGGTTTACTAGTAAATTGCACGTAGGAATGTTATTTCCATTTGAGTTTTCTCCACTACATATATATATATATATATATATATATATAAACTCAAGAATAACAATTACAAGGATAATTTTCCTTTCTTAACATTAGAAAGTAATGAAACTAAATATCCAAAAATTTTTATTGTCCAATCTTCAGCAACTCTGACACCAGGCTTGCGGATGGTTACAACAGCAGCAACAGGGCCCCCTAGCCAAATTGGACCAAGTTCAATTTCATCCTTCTGTTTTCCTGGTTCAACAAGGGCTCTTTTTGAAGATGTAATTCGCTCAAAAATGCAGTCAGAAGAAAATCTAGACCTACCAAGGGAAGAGGATGCCATATTTGAAGATGTAAACTGCCCATTTGAGAACACAAATCGACGATGAATGTAAGCCCCGTGCTTGAAGTCAAAGCTTTTACCATCCATCAAGATAGAGTTCACCTTCAGCTGCTTGAGATCTGCTCATATCTATCACCTATACAGACACGATGATGTTAGAACTACCTATTCATCGTGCACAGAAACTAAAATATTTGACCACTGCTGTCATCAATGTCAAAAATACCAAGTAGAGAAGAAAACATAGAGAAAACAGCAACAATCACGATCAAAGCTCCGCCATTCTAAAAAATTTTGAGGAAGGATAGCTACTCCATCCTTCGATGAAATGTGATCTGATAAAAGGGAAATTTGCTGCAAGGATTTAACTAGTCATACACTTACTAATACGTACCATGTAGATTAAGGAAACCTAACAGTGATAACTTATTAAAAATGTCCAAGGCAATTTTGAGAAGCACTAATAAATTCTAAGCCAACAAGCATTTTATTCTTTTCTTAGTATTCTAACATCACTACTTTCTAAACTGCTGTAATCTATTTGCAGATGTATCACCCACTTTCGCACTGAGTTTTCTTGTTTATAAAAACCCTTCATTAGTGATGAGTAATAGGCATTAAGACAAAATGTTGACAACACTAAAATAGTGCATAAGTTCCCAAAAAAATGAGGTTCACAAAAGTGCACGCATTAAATATCTTCCTGCACACAGCTATGAAGGCATTTAAGGAACTTGAAACCTGGACATATTGGCTGATTGTTCAATGAGTAATAAACTGTATAGACAAACATTAAACATGGTTTATGATTTTCATTGTTTTGGCCAGAAAAAAAAAAAAGGTTTATGATGCTGCCTTCACGTTACTTTGCAAATATTCCATATTGAGCTAAACTCTGGTAAATAAATGAAGTGGTTCTGATTTAGACAGCTGAAAATCAACCTAACCAGTCTGCCATTAAAAAATAACAGCCGTAAAACAGCCAGTTGTACTAATATAGGATGGAAGAGTCCAAAACAGCTTGCTTTGCACACTCTTGTCGCACTGAACTTTAAAAGGAGTCAAAAGAAAAAAAAAAAAAAAGCTTTTTATCACAAAAAAATGGATTTTAAATGGATAGTAATTGCAATATAGAGAAAAGTAAGGAAAAAAAGAGGGTGAGAGACAATGCATGTTTATCTCTATTGCGATAAAAGACTTATAGTGGGGCATTGGGGGGCAGTGGCCCCCAAACAGGTCCGAGAATATTACAAAAAAACCAAAAATTTCAGCATGTGCATTGCCTTTTGCCCCACCAAACTGAACAAAAAAATGGTAAATATGGGATCTTTTCATAATATTAAAGAGTACAAGGATATATTAACAAAATAAAAGGACCATTGAGCAAAATGATGAGAATTCTTAAGAGGTGACATTCAATAGGTCTAAAGTTCGGATCCCAACACTTCCAATTTTTTCTCCTATTCCCTAAGTGTAACCACCAATGTAAAGAAATATATAAATATAAATATACCTTAGTTCTTCTAAGACATGTTTCAACCACAATATCTCACAAATTCCATGCGCCATAACCCTGAACTCTACTTCAACGCTACTTCATGCCACCACATTTTGTTTTTTACTTCTCCAAGTAATCAAATTACCTAGACAAATGTATAATATCCAAAGGTAGATCTTCTATCAATGATTGATCTGGCCTAATTAGTATCAGTATAAACTTCAACTCTCCGTTGTTCACTTTTCTTAAACAATAATCCTTTTCCTGGAGTGCTCTTTAAGTACCTTAGAATTCTGTAAACAGCCTCAAGATACTTTTCGTATGGACAATGCCTGAATTGACTCACTAAATTGATTGCAAAGGCAATGTCTAGTCGAGTGTGTGATAAATATATCAGTTTGCCTACCAACTTCTGATATCACTTTGTATCAATAGGCGTTCTGTTGTCACTTTCTCCTATCTTCAAGTTGTATTCTATAGGAGTATCATTCAGTTTGCAGCCACTTATACCTGTTTCTTTTAAGAGATCAATGATGTAGTTTTGTTGTGAGATAGCTATGCCCTTCTTGGAATTGACCGTGCTACTTCCATTCCAATAAAGTACCTCAATGATCCCAAGTCCTTGATCTCAAATTCCAAGGCTAGAACCTGTTTTAGCCTTTTTATTTCGAGGAAGTTATCTCTAGTAAGAATAATATCATCCACATAGACTATTAACACTGTTATCTTTCCTTCATGTGAAAATTTCATAACCAAGTTGTGATATTATAGACTGAGCGAATTTATCAAACCATGCTCTAGGTGATTGTTTGAATCCATATAATTACATCCTTAGCATGCACACCTTTGATCCAAATTTCTCAGTAAAGCCCGGAGGAAAGTCCATATAAACTTCTTCTTCCAAATCTTTTTTGAGAAATGCGTTTTTTACATCCAATTTTTGCAATAGCCAGTCCAAATTTGCAGCAATTGATAATGGCACTCTCAATGTGTTTAGTTTAGCCACTGGAGCGAATGTTTATGAGTAGTCAACACCATATATCTGAGTAAATCTTTTCGCTACTAGTCGAGCTTTATATCTTTCTAGGGAGCCATCAGAATTGTATTTCACTGTAAATACCCATTTACAGATAACTGTGGATTTACCTTCAAGCAAACTCATTCTTCCCAAATTTTATTTTTCTTAAGAACTTTCATCTCTTCAAGAACAGCTTCCTTTCATTTAAGAACATCTTGTACATTTTTAAGAAGGTCTATACTAGATAATTGAAAAGTAAATGAAAAAAAAAGAAAAAGAAGACAACTTTTCATATGACATAAAATTAGACAAAGGATGTTTATTACATTCTCTAGTATCTTTTCTAAGAGCAATTGGAACATCTAAATCATGAATAGACTCAATTTGGTATCAAGCTTAAAGGAACTAGACTCAGATATAGATTTACATAGAGGATTGATAGAAATCTGATATGTTCTCAGATTAGACTCATGGGATTGTTGCAAACTGGACTACTTTTTTTTTTATCAGTATTCTTTCTTGAATAGACAATAAACTCATTCGGTTTTTACTTGGTTTCTCACATATTTCTGTGTTAAGTGATTTTTTATGACAAAATAGGGGACTGTCCATTGTTTTCAGTATTTAACATATTCGTTTCCATGGTAATCTTTGGTATTTCTAAAGTAGAGTTTGCAGGTATTTTTGAATTTAGGGAAGACATCATGGGTGGCATTTTTATCTGGATGTCAAAGATAGAATCTTCACTTTCACTCTCCCTCCGAAGATAATGATTAAAATCATATTTTTTTGTTTAAAAAAAAATGACATCCATAATAACAAATATCCTTTTTGAAATGGGATCAAAACATTTGTATCCTTTTTGTGTTAGAGAATAACAAAAAAAAACATATTTTTTTTGCTCTTGGATCAAATTTTCGCCTATTATGATTGTGAATGTGTATGATTGTGAATGTGAACAAATGCAATGCAAACAAAAATTTTTAGAGGAATATTGACCAAAATCCTTGATGTGGGAAAACATTTTTTGAACAAATCCGAAGGATTTTGAAAATGTAATACCTTTGATGGCATCCGATTGATCAAATAAGTGGCTGTAATAATAGTTTCCCCCCACAAATATTTAGGAACCTTAGCTGCAAATCTAAAGATCTAGCAACCTCAAGAAGATTTTTGTTTTTCTTTCAGCCACTCCACTTTGTTGAGGTGTGTCATTACAAGAACTTTGGTGGACAATACCATTTTCCTCAAAATATTTTCCAAAAATTTTAGTAAAATATTCCTTCCTATTATCACTTTGAAAATTTTGAATATTTGTTTGAAACTGAGTTAGTATCATTTTATGAAAAACATTAAAAACATGTTTAGATCTAGACTTTTCCTTTAATAAATATACCCAAGACATACGGGAATGATCATCAATGAAAGTGATAAACCATCTTTTTTTCTGAAAGTGTAGAAGTTCTAGAAGGCCCCAGACATCATTAT